GCTTTGCTTGTTTGTGGTATGAAATTTATAGAACCTGAATAGGACCAAGGACATCATGTAGGTTTCTTGATTAATTTTAAAATCACAGAAACTGCAGCAGTTTACTTAGAACTGGAACTCTGTGTCTGTAGAACTTGAGTTCACTTTTTCAATGACAACTGACGGAAAGGACAGTCTGTTGTCTGTCACGGTCTAAAACAGTCTTTCTCAACCCTGGTCCTCAGGCCCCCTGCTCTGCATGTTTTAGATGTGCCTCTCTTCCAGAACAGCTGATTCAAATGATTGCATGATCATCAAGTACTGCAGAAGCCTGTTAATCACCCAGAGATACAATTCAGGTGTGTGGCAGAAGGGAAATACCTAAAACATGCAGGACAGGGGGTCGGTGAGGACCAGAGTGGAGAAACACTGATCTAAAACATTGAATGTAAAAAAATCTTGATAAGTAAAAATATAATCCTAGTTACCACCAATATTTGTAAGCAGCATGAATCAAAGTTAGCAAATGGACTTTAGCTCAGCTCAAGATTGTAGCTTCCTTCCAGCTACCATGACACTTACAGTGGGAGTCGGTGGGATCTTGGTCAGCCAGTGGTGCTCTGTGCTGGGTGTCAGTGCCCTGTGTGGGGGCGTACTGGGGACCGCAGTGGGATGCAGTGAAATGGTCAGAGAAAAGGACCAGGAGGACAGATGTGATGAAAAGGAGCAGGTAGGCAGCCATCAGTGACCATAGGATGAACTGGCTGCACTCTTCACCACTAGGCCAAATGCTTGGAGAATACCAGCAGGAGGAAAAGGAAGAGGAGGAGGAGGATGAAGAATGTGAGAGCAAAGGGGGAGAGGCTGAGTACTTTAGGTGCTTCAGGTGGAAGATTTGGTGACTAGAGTACGGAGAGTGTGCTGAGGATGATGGGAAATGAGATGGAAATGCAGCAGGGATGACAAAGAAAATGAGATGGAAATACAGTAAACATGAAGAAATACATGCAGTATGAGCAGAAAATGACCATTTGTTCTTCACTCTTTAACCAGCAAGGAACAAATCACACAGACAACAGGAAGCAGAAGACAGTAATGGAACTCTTTCTCTCCAAAATGGTGGCTCCGAGAAGCCTGCAGCGCCATAATGCTGCATCACGTCATGTGATGGGAGGAGCCCCAAAAGAACAATCTAGGAACGGCTGTTCAGAAATGGTATAGATCTGGCAACCCACTGCTGACGCACTGTACTGGCTGATGCAAATGACACTGTCAGTTTTTAGGGCAACATTTCCCCTGACAATTGCAACTTCATCTAAACCTCCTTCAAAAAAAAAAAAATCACAAAGTATTCATATAAATGCACAGTAGGCAGGACCAGAAACATTCAGAGAAAGCCAAGTTGGGAACACCCATTCATTCCTTCATCATTTCATACAGAAAGTTTTTCTCTAATAAATAGTGGCACATCCAGTTTTTGTTAATAGAAAAAAAAAAGTTTTCCATCCATCCATTCTTAGTGCAGCATCTCAAAAAGGCTGGTTCCTTTCTCCAGGAGTTAGATGGGAGGCGAGGTACAACTCCATGCAGAAACATCCTGGATTCAAACCCAGACCTTCTAAGAACAGCTCCGCTTTGCAGCCCAAATCTTTTTCAAGTCCAATTAAAACAGAAGATTAAAGAATAGTAATATGGCTTTTTTTTTTACACATCTACAAAAGCCAGACTGTTTGTATTCTTATGTTGTTGCTCTGCCATTTTAAGTCTGCCACGTATTAGATATTGTCTCAGTCCAGAACAATTGAATCCAGTGCTGCTAGAATTAATTGGCTCCCTCTTGGTCAATTTCTCTTCTTTCCTTGATTTCAAAGTCAGATGTACTTCATAAGACCACATTTTCTTTATCTAGCCCAGTGTTTCTCAACCTTTTTTGGCCCAGCGCCCCCCTAGCCTT